GAAAAGGGATTTGCACGCAAGTTATCGGAAGAAGAGCGCATAAAACATGGTGAACAGTGGTTCCTACCCCATCACCCGGTTCTCTCCCCACACAAACCCCTACCGAGAGTAGTATTTGATTCCGCGGCAAAACATGGTGATATCTGCCTTAACGATTGTCTTCAAGCTGGACCCAGTCTCCACAACGATTTACCTGGCATACTGATGAGATTCCGTGAGAAACCTGTTGCGCTTACTGGTGATATGTTCTGTCATGTGCGATTAAAACCGGAGGACTGTAAATACCATCGTTATTTATGGCGCGGATTGGATATGTCGAGACCACCTGATGTGTACGAGATGAACTGTCTGGTGTTTGGAGATAAATCTTCACCCTGCGAGGCAAACTATGCTGTGATTCGCACCACCGAAGACAACAAGGAAGAATGGCCCGCCGCAGCCGCAGTGGTCAAGCGTGATATATTTGTTGATGATTTATATACGTCCTGTTATGATGATGATGAAGCAATAACATTGCGGAAGGATGTGACAAATTTGATGGCGAAGGGTGGATTCCCGATGCGCAAGTGGCTCTCGTCGTCACGAAAGGTCCTGGAAACAATACCCGAAAAAGAAAGGGCTGTCCCAAACAAGAACGTGAATAGTGGAGAACTTCCGTCAGGGCGTGCGTTGGGGGTGAAATGGGATGCAAAGTCCGACAATCTAGGCTTTGCATTAGCACACATTGATCGTCCGAAGGCGCAAAATACAAAGCGAGGTATTCTGAAAAGATTGGCTGCATTGTACGACCTGTTGGGCTGGGCTAGTCCGTACGTTGTCCGTGCCAAGATTCTTCTGCAACGCACCTGGTCTCGTGGCCTCCAGTGGGATGAACAACTTCCACCGGACTTAGCAATCGAATGGCAGAAGTGGGAGGAGGAGATGATTTGGCTTAAAGCTTTCTCGGTCCCGCGCTATATCTACCGTGAGCCTTCGAAAGTCTGGTCTAAGTTTCTCATAGTCTTTTGTGATGCTTCAGAAGTAGCCTACGCCGCTGCTGCCTTTATACGTGCAAAGTCAACCGATGGAGATTACGTGTGCCATTTGATTATGTCGAAAACTCGTTTAATGCCGCTCAAGACAGTCTCTATTCCGCGCGGAGAATTAATGGCTTGTCAACTTGCTGTCCGACTCGCGAAGTCTGTTTGTGAGCAAACTGGGACTTGACAAGTGTCGTGTCAAGTATCTGTCTGATTCCACGACTGCGTTATGGTGGATCAAGGGTGAGCCAAGGAAATTTTGTCCATTTGTTGCCAATCGAGTGGCAGAGATCCTGTCCGAGAGTGATCCAATTCAGTGACATCACATTGGCACGAAGCTGAATATTGCAGATATTGCGAGCAGAGGAACGTCTGTAGCTGATATTTCCGCTGATTCAACCTGGATTCAGGGACCAGAGTTCTTAAAGTCTGAGTTCTCTGAGTGGCCTGTTGATAAAGTTGCAGTTGATTTTCCAGAGCCAAGTCAAGCGGAGTTGAAGAAATCGGTTTTGAAGGCAAAGGTCGCACCAGCGAAGCCAGTTATTGATCCTGCCGCGTATTCTAGCTGGATCAAACTCACCCGAATAACCGCATGGATATTTCGCATGTGTAACAATCTGCGCAACAAAGGGAAACGAATATTGGGACCGTTGACTGTGGACGAACTCGATAATGCTAACTTGTACTGGATCAAATGGGGCCAGAGCGATCGCTTCCAAGACGAAATCGAAGCGTTGAGAAAGGGTCGTCCGGTTCCACGAGATAGTCGTATTGCAAGTTTCGATCCCCAACTCGTGGACGGTGTTTTACGGGTAGGCGGCAGAATCGAAAAGGCGGAAATTCCGTGGGAGTCGAAGCATCCAGTTATATTGGACCACGGACATGATGTCACCCGGTTGATCGTGATCCACTACCACCGAAAACTTATCCACGCGGGAGTCGAACATGTCTTTAATCACGTACGTGAGAAATACTGGATTTTGCACGGTCGAGCAGAAGTTAAGAACTGTACAGTTAAGTGCCCACTATGTTTTCGCCGTCGTTTTAAACCTATGACGCAGAAAATGGCTAATTTACCGAATGTACGTCTCGCAGGCGCAAGTGTTCCTTTTCGACACGTTGGGATTGATTATGCCGGACCGTTTGAGACTCGAATTGGACGCAATCGAAAGGAAAAACGCTATATTTGCTTATTTACGTGTCTCCATATGCGCGCGGTTCATCTCGAGGTCGCACATAGTTTGGACACTGACTCGTGTATAATGGCGTTGCGACGATTTCAAGCTCGTAGAGGAGTCCCTGTTTGTATAATGAGTGATAATGGGACAAATTTCGTAGGTGCCGAAAGAGAGTTGCGCGAAGCGTTGGAAGATCTGGATCAAGAGAAAATCTCGAATGAGTTAACAGCACGTGGAGTACGTTGGATCTTTAACCCGCCTGCTGCCCCCTGGTTTGGAGGTGCCTGGGAAGCGTTAGTAAAGTCTGTCAAACGGGCATTGAAAGTTATGCTTGGGAATGTTCTCACAGTCGATGAAGTTTTCCTTACTGTCATTGCCGAGGTAGAAGCGATGCTGAACTCTCGTCCGCTTGTCTATGGTGGAAGCAGCGATTCACCAACAGATCTCAGCGTGATTACACCAAACCACTTCTTGCATGGTCGTGCGAGTTCGAACGTGTCGCCCGGCGAGTTTAACCAAAGAGATATGTCGTTACGTCGAAGATGGCGTCATAGCCAGTTCTTAGCGAACCAATTCTGGCGCCGATGGTCGAATGAATACATTCCGCAGTTAATAAAGCGAAGCAAATGGAATGTTGCACACAGAAATCTACGTCGCGGTGATCTTGTCTTGATCGTTGAGAAGGACGTACCTCGTTCGCATTGGAGGCTCGGAAGAGTGATTGCACCGATCGCAAGTGAAGACGGACTGATCAGATCCGCGGAGATTGCAACGAAAACTGGAACATTGACACGTCCTGTAGGACGGTTAGCATTACTGGAAGCTTTAATGATGAGTAACGTTCCCCCCGTTCACGTCACGGGCGGGGGTGTTTTGGACTTTGTCCAGTTTATTATATAGTTCATGTTAATTTATTATGGTAATAGACTTTTGTCCAGTAACATTGAAAATAGAGAGGTCAGAGGACAGAACGAACACAAAACGTTTGGAGAAACAGGGTTTTTCTGTAAAAACTGTTGAGTTATACTAAATAAATATATGAAAACCTCATGGTTAATGAAAATTACACGCCGTCTATAACACTGCGTTTGCATGTATCAGAAGTGAATATCCATTTCAGTTGATGCACTAACGTCATTGGTATTGATTCCAAACTCGGCACTAAGAACAGATGCGCGCGCATGCATTGTGTTCCATTTAATCCCACAATCATTTTTGTTCGGTCTCTAGCTTTTTGTAAGGGACTTTATCACTTATATCAGTGTCAACTGATGAGCGGTACATAAAGCTTAAAAACTATATTAATATTAAGTGCCAATTAATAAACTGATTAGATGCCAAACTTAACTGTTTGCTTATCTGTCTATTTTTCTGGACAAGTGATCCGCAAATGTTATGTTGGATAAGTATCGTTACTTAGATATTCACCCAGGGGCGTAGGAACCGGGGGGGGTGGGGGGGGCACGTGCCCCCAAATTTTTTCAAAGGACTAAAAGTGCCCTTTTTTGTGATGAAAAGTGCCTTTTTTTGTGATGAAAAGTGCCCTTTTTGTACAAGCTAATGTCGCTGTAAATACTAAATTAACATCAAAGGTGCCCTTTTTGTTTGGAAATTTCCAAGTTTTTTAAAAAAATTTGGTCAAAACCGTGCAATTTCGGTATGGTACGACGGGAAAATTTTTCTCAAATACACCATTTTTAATCGATTCTAACACCGAGTATTAAATTGTTAAGCATTACAAATCATAATGAGCTACTTCAGTCCGGCTAGCCGGGTTAGCGCAGTGCATGTAATCGCAATTCAAAAGTCAACTCGCTTAGCTGGGACAACTCGGCAAAGCGGGACAACTCGGCCCATGTAATCAGCCCCTAAATGTAGTTTAATTAATTAATTTAATTAATAATAATGAGTGCAATAAATATTTAGCCTTGTCTTAATTGCATTTTACAGGGAAAGCTTCTATCTATTTGGTAAACTGTTCAGTCAGTCCAACAATTTGCAAACATCAAAATGTCCAAGGATTTCCTTCAGTAAAGTTATTTCGTAGCTTGGTATGGTCTCAGTTTGGTGGTTGCGCGACTGATCAAATTCAGCAACAATATATTGTACTGGATTATCATCGGCCTCTTGAGGTACTGCACCCTCAAGTTACAATATAACCAATCGTATAAAGTCGTACCTGTTTACATTAATGTTGATCTTTTCCACCGATGCATGCCAGTAGTCTTTCATGCAAGCTGCTCCCAGGCCCGTATATTGCAGTCCACGCGTGCGAAGTGAAGGAGTTCCACCCAAATGTAGCTACTCTGCGAAGAGTTGCTTAATATACCTTATGCATAATGACGTCACAAGGCGTCAAGCCCGCGAGGAATGCTGGTATTAGTAGTCATCGCCCGGGAAAATTTCGATAGTGGCCATTTTGAATTGTTTAATTTTCCCGGGCGATGACTACTAACTAGTAATTCTCCCGAGCATCAAGCCTTGTGACGTCATTATCAGTGTTGTAGTACTCGAGTCCGGACTTGGACTCGAGTCCGGACTTGAGGGCATGACTCGGACTTGAACACATCGGACTTGGACTCGATATCAAAGAACTCGGACTTGGATTTGACACCTCTGACTTGGGAATTTAGGTCAAGTCCTGTACGAGTCCACCACTTAAATTTCCTCGTTGATATATACTCATTGCTTCGAACAAATTATGGCCTCTATATATATACATTGCCACCCGGCGTTGAAACAGCACAAATTGCTCCGTCAGTACGAGTTTCGAGCTTAATTTTCCAAAGATCTTTTTCGCGACAAGAATATATACCAAATGGAAACACTACGTGATTTGTTTCTGCGACAAAATTCGACGCGACGTGCAATAACTCGCTGACCAAATGAGAGAGGTAGAGATCACATGATTTACATCTTACGACTTTCAATTATTAATCAATGCTTTTTCTATGGATATAGAAAAATATATCTATTTACGGAATTCAATACTTTAAATTAAGTGTTCCATTTGTTTTATATATTCGGACACATGCATGCACTGCATGTAATGTAGGACCTTATACTACTTTGCACTGTACATGTTTTAAGCTCAAAATTGAATATCACTATAGTATGATCTATTTGCAACTGATGGCGTAGCCATGGAGACCTTCATTTTTTTTTGAGGGGGGCGAAGCGAACGGCGAAGGCGTGAGAGTGCCTAGTGGGGTAGGGGGGCATACACCACCGGAAAATTTTGAAATCTAAAGTCCCTGAAATGCGATTTCAAGCATTTTGGGGATGAAATCTTGCGGAATTTCGAAGATTATATTAAAGTAGTCGAAGACATGAATTTCCCCAGACATTTCTCCTCGGAATTAAATAAATTGGAAATAATAACAATGATAATAATAATAATAATAGTCTTTATTAAAATACTCAGATACATCCGTCTGAGTTTACAATCGAAAGGTAATTGATCTAGATAGTTATATTTACAATGTAAGTTAAGAAGCGTAAAAAGTTTTTAAAAGTTTTAAATACATTAAAGTCTAAACAAAGTTATACAGACAACGATTTATGAACGACCTTTTGAATCTTTCTGTTCTCACTAGGGGGAGTTCATACTCATGCCCTCTAGGCCTAGGTAACCTACTTCTTTTTTCCGGCAGCAGTTCAAGCAATGCATTGTCCTCAGTTGATGTTATTTTGTTCCACAGTTTCTTATCTCTCTTATCACGTATTGTCACCTTGAAAAGCAAGAGGAGGGGTCAGTGTCACCTTCTTTCCCCTTTGTGATGCTGGAAATCCCAATGCTATTTTGATCAGAAATGTTGCATTTAAATAATTCTAGGTTCTATGAGACAACATTTCTGCATTCTCGAAATCGCGTTTCAAGACGTACTTAGTCAGTTTCAGCTTCGAGCATGTAATGTGTACCCCCTCCCCCCTATTTCTCTACAGATTTAGCCTTTTTGAGAAAATTGTTTTTGCCACCACCATATTACTTTGATTACATCGTGACTGACTTCTGCAAAAATGCATTAAGTGCCTGTGGATTTGATTATATATACATATACTTCATCATTTCGGACTTGGACTCGAAATATTTAGGACTCGGACTTGAAAAGGTTGGACTTGAAATTTTGCTAGAGACTCGGACTTGAATGTATAGGACTCGGACTTGGACTCGTAAGTTGTGGACTCGACTACAACACTGGTCATTATGCATAAGGTCTATTGATATGAAAAAATGCAAGTCCTGCGATATTTTGAAGAGAAGAGTTTACCGTTCCTATCCTCTCATCACTAAATAGGAATATTGCAGGAATTGATTTAAATTTTAGATACATTTTATTTTCTTTCTCCTATCATACCCCTCTCTTGCATGGCCTTTACTCTATCACCCTCTACATTTTGTGCAGTATTATCTTTCCCTTCCTGTCTAGGGTATTATACATGAACTTGTGTCTATATGCGAACTTTTGTCATGTATATGTACTAGGGTATTATATACATGAACTTGTCTAGTATATATACATGAACTTGTGGTTAGAGCTCGACAACTGGCCTCTGTACCTCAGTTGGTTAGAGCGCTGCACCGAAATCGCAGAGCCGCAGGTTCGATTCCTGCCAGGGACCTAAAGTTGCATTTTTCGCAGCTGTTCCTGGATATTAGGTCTAATAAATAAATATAAATTTCCACTCGAGATAATTTCCATCTACAATACCCTTCAACTATTTTAAATGTTTCGTGTTTTTGTTTAGCCAGTTAACATAATTCTTGAATGGTTTTCTAATTCGTCTCTGCCAAGTGTTAAAAAGGATTTCTTACTTAGCAACATTCCCAAGCCACTAGTAAGTATATATAACTAAAAAATCCATTTGATAAGCTGTAAGTCTACGCCGATACGTCCCCGCATTGAATATAATTTTGGAAAAAAGATCACTATATCCAGTGGAATGTAGCGCTATCCCGGCTTCGTACAACTGGCCCAAGACGGATATCATTATAAATAGAGCATGGTTTAAACGCTTTGTTCTATAGTCCAAAAAGAGGAGATTTTCCATTAACTTTAGATTATTTTTCGTTAAGAACCATGATGTATACTTGGTTGGGACAGTCGTAACAAGATCTCAAGCATTGCGTTTCTTACCAGCTGATACCCACAACAAATGGTACTCCTATTTATGTTTTGAAACCGCATGTGAATTATTGTTTGGAAAAGCTACTTGTTATGTGACCATGACTAAAGACTTTGGAATAAGCAATGATATGAGAAAGACAAATAATAAAGACCTGTTTTTAATTAAGGTACGAGAAGCATTAATGTGTGGAAAACTAGTTTCATATTATTCTGACACTGCAGAGTACAACGAAACATTCGTTCTCTCGAGCGGGATGCATGCATCTTCGGGTTTGTAGACAGCCGCTCTATCGATGCAGCTATTGAATCAAAGGAGATTGGTAGCGAGTCTTAATCCAACTTTCGCGACGACTTAACGCGTGTTTTAATTGGAGGACGCGCAGTGTTTCTATTTCAGAACTACCCTCAAAGATATGAACAACCAGATATGAAACTAGTTTGAAACGGGGTTGGTTCTGAAATTAAATTAATGTATGCAGGTGATGAGATGACTTCAGTTAGATTTTAGAGGTTTTGTTGTGGTGTTATAATATAGTCTTCCTACCAGGCCTGAATGCCGTGATAAATTCCTCTCTAAAACCAGAATCATGTGATAAAACTAATGAGAATATAATGGGATGGAGTATAGAATGGTATACAATAGAATAGAATAGAATAGAGTGCAACAGGACAGAGTGGAAGAATAAAAAAGAATGAAATAGAATAGAAATAAAATCGGATGGGATAAAAATTGAAACGGGAAAGAAGAGAACAGAATGGAATACGATCATTGGAATAGGAAAGAAAAGATATGATAGGATGTGCATGGCATTTGAAGAGATGTATATGACGGATAAGATAGATTTGAAAAGAAAATATAGAATGGAATACAGGAATAGGCAAATAGTAAAAATTCTAGACTGCACCGGTATAATGGTTGAAGTTTGAAATCTTGGCAAACACAGAAAAGGAGAGAAATTGTAACATTTCAGGTTTCTTTACTTTTCGTATTTTAGTTGGAATTATTTCGAAGTGACAACATTGAAGCCAGAATATTTGAACTTGGAGTGCCCCTGGAAACAACCATGCGCAATGAGCAAGAATCAGAATTACACCAATTTCACAATGCTCACAGGTATTAAAGAAAAAAATTGTTTGGCACAATCTGAAGATTGGAACATGACAGGCCCCTGGGTTCATTAACTATTTCCAGGTGCGCTTGGTATTTTGTGAAGATGGACCCAAAATGCTCATCTTATGAGGTGCCCACCTCATAAGATGAGCATTTTGGGTCCATATATTTTTCGCCCTAACTCCTTCCAAAGAGCCACGCGCATCCTGGATTGAAATTTTGAGCCAAAGGCGTTCCCTTATTTATATAAACGTTTACCACTATTTCCTATTCTAAAGAGCCCAATTATATATAGGTAAAATAGATACAGCAATGTTCATTTCTAACATTTTCCTTAAAAAATAAATTAAATACATTCTAGTTATTCATTTGGGAAAGGATTTCGATGTGAGGATGATCATTCTCGATGTACAGAATTTATTGTAAAGTTTGTCAAAGATCACTCACGATTACCTGTAACTCACTTGTCTCACGATGGATTTCACACGATAAACAGGTACAGTAAATAAACTCGAACGTTCCAGTGCCATCGTAGGTAGTAACAAAAGTACCAGAGAAGTGCAGATGGATTCAACTACCCGAGTTAGCCACTAACCTCCCGACTCCTTCGCTCGAAACGTCGAGGTTTTCCTTGTATTTTTCAGAAAGTGGAGTCCATATCCATCTGCATTTCTCAGGTACAGTAAGTATTCTTTTGGCTGTCACTAAACATGTCAATGTTTTTTAGTAACATCATTCAGAAACGTCTCATCGCCTACGCCTTAAAGCACGTTTTTCACTTCAAGCGTATTGTACCGCAATGTGACGTATTTGTTTGTTTCGTAATCGATTGCGCTCAACTGATGGCTCCACACAACAGAAAATGCTACCTAGTACCGTATGTTACGATATGGTTAAATTGGAAAACAGGTTGCCGACCACGTTCACACGCTACCAGACGAATTTAGCACCATGTTTCCACAAGACCAAAGCAGTAATGGTCTCGTCTAAACAGCATGGGAACTTTGGTCTTAAACTGTCAAAGCTGTGGTCAGCGTAACAGGCTCTCGAAGTTGTAGCAAACAAACATACTCGTTATACAGTCTTATATTGATCAGTTGTTTTATTTTTGGTGTTGAAACTTTAAAGGCTATTCAGCGATGGTACAAGATGGTCAGAAGAACTTCCTATTGTTGTAGTCTTAGGTCACAAAGACAATATGACAAAGAATAGCATATACTCACTGGTAATGTTGTTTATGTTATACATTTCTGTTTTGCAATGTCGCCATGCATGTCAAACATGTATAAGTACTCCGTATATATATGACATCCATGCGAGTCGAAGCCATTGCCAGCATTTCAGTTCAGGGTTCGTTGTTTTTTAGTGCCTGCAAGCAAAATTCATAACGTCACACTGTGTCTGCAAAAATGCATCATATTTTACGCTTTAAGAGCTAAATATTGTTAAAATGCCAAGTATTTTAAATTGTGCAGGGCACAAATTCAAAATTTAATGATGCCTGGTGCAGTCGCTTAGCGTTAGACTGCATGTGTAAAATAATAAAGTATGTGATCAATGGTAGTCAATGGCTTAACAAGAGAGATGAACATACAATTAGGTTAACCCATCAACGCCCAACACGTTTCACCCAAAGAGTAAATAATATATAAGTGAATATTACAACCATCTGAAATTTGTTCCTTTATTATACTGCAGGAAATTACCAAGGCAGCATACGAGTTATATCGTCACGTGCTATTTACGTTACTGGATGTAGATGAGTATCCATGGTGGGCAAGACAGTTTGTTCCTCGGGATTATGACACAACACAAATGACCCGTAAGTACCAAATGTCAGGTGTACTGTATGTCCCACATTGGGTCCTCACCAATTTGTCTTTAAATTTTAGGGAGTTGTCTGCTAAAATAACCTCGTTCCCAGGTGCTAAAATAGGTTATATATATCTTGGATGAGAGTATGCTTATCTTAAATCTATTTCCATCTATATGGCCACACCGCACCCAGTCTTAAAGAAGCATTTCAATTTAATAATGAAAGACATAATACTTACAATCTTAGAAATAGGGATACTGATTTAGCACCACCTATGCCGAAAAAAGAATTTGGCAAGAGGTGCTTCAGTTATAATGGTGCCTTGCATTAGAATAATCTTCCCCATTAGGCAAAAATTGCTGAATCCTTAAGTTAAGCTCTTTCAAATCGATATTGAAACAAAGAATGAGTTCAAATTTGCTTGTGTGTAATCGTGCAGCTAAAATCACCTGTATTTTTTTTGTTATATTTTGTATTTCTTGTAAATAGTTAATTTCTTGTAAATAGGTAATTTCACGCCCCTCATGGAAACCAGCCTTCCAACGGCTGTTGAGGCTAGCGTGGTTTAAATAACAGTGCAGAAAACAGAAAAAAGGCAGAACAAAAAATATGAGCCGTCGAGGTTTGGCGAACGCGCGACTGGCGCGAGTCTGAAGAGAGATTTTGTAAAACTTTAATTTATTAACTTCAGCTATATTTTACTTTAAACAATAACTTCAGCTTCTTTGTAGCTATAATCGTACAGCTATAACCAGTGGCGTTGTGGCCAAAACTTAATTTTTCGGGGGCGAACCTCACGCCGAAGGCGTGAGACCGTCTAGGAGGGTCCGGGGTCCGGAAAATTATGGAATCTAGGGTCCCTGAATTGCGATTTCATGCATTTTGGGGGTGAAATGTAGCAGAATTCCGAAGATTATAAAATACATCGAAGACATGAATTTTTACAGACATTTCTACTCGGAATTAAATAAATTGGAAAGTCACCTTGAAAAATAGGAGGAGGGGTCAGTGTCACCTTATTTCCTCTCTGTGATGCCGGGGGGGGGGGGGGA